CCATACAAGGATTATAGACCATACCAACGGTGGAGGCTCCTTCAATGTCTCTGATCTTTTCACAAGTCAATCTAAGAAAATGACTACACTTATGATATCCACAAGAAGGTAGGCACACTCACAATTGAATTAATTGACCAGATTAATTCAATTGCACTTTAGATTTTGCTAAAGAATTGAAAGAACAAATCTTTCACAAAAGGGAAGGGTAGCTAAGGCTAAAAGGAGCATCAACTTTCTTTTAATTTTTCTCACATACTTAATTTTTTTCTAAAAGTTTTGCTTTCATAGCAAAACCCTAACCCTATTCCACATTAGAATAGGGTTAACCTATTCCTAAGTGGAATAGCATTAAATGTATTTTTAATTTAATTAAAACTAATAATATTAATATTAACATAAACATAAACATAATTTGCTTTATTTAATTCCAATATAAAATTGGATACAGGAAACAACCTCAACAAATTTAATTACACAGCAAATTACCAAAACACCCTTAAATTAAAATACGTAATTTTTCTAATTAAATTTCAATATAAAATTGGACACAAGCAACAACCTCAACAAATTTAATTGCATAACAAAATTACCGAACTGCCCTCACGTCTAGAAAGACGAAAATGCCCCTTAAACCAAAATCCTCAAACTACCTCCTATGTGTGTGACCCATAGACTCCCTAATATGTTGGTAGTGAGTAGTATCGTGATTGATCACCAATTAATTGTCTCACTACACACAGACCAAGATTGGCTTCTAACCAGACATCATGGTCACCCAACTCATAAGGATCGGCAAAGTAATGATACCTGTCAATGGTATGGTTACCGTACAATCGAATCATTTCATCAACTGTTATCTCATCAAGGCTAAGGTACAAAAATAGCATTAGCCTTGGATATCCTTGATATCTTTATATTGGTTACTGGACCAACAACCAGATAATAAACTGGATTGAGTGACAACTCAATCTCACTATGGCCACAGATTTATTGTCGTTGCCAATATAACCGAACTGTGTAATGAGATAACTTCTCCCTACCCGGGAATGATGAATCCCATGTTGATTCATCATAGCCTCAATACACTTCTCGATGCAACCAATCACAACCGGTCTAATAGCCCTGAATGGGACTACATTGGGCTAATGTCAAACTACACCGATTGGTGTACAAGGCGCTCTGGTGATTTGAAGTCTAAGAATCACATGCACCACCATCCATTAGAGGATTTATTCCACAGACATTAGGGTTACCATTTATGTGAAATCCTCTGGTAGGTCTGTCCAATAAACTTGCTTACATAGCAAGCACCCATGTGTTGTACCTGGTTATCATCAAACAACTTTGACAAGTGAGATCAGTCACTGTCTTTCGATAGGGTCGTTCAACACGATAATAGCCTTACCATATTATATGTGTCATTGGTTAGATAATACTAAGGCTACGGATGGTTCTAGAATGGCCACCATATGCACTCGTAGGGTTTTCACTATCGAGATTTGAAACACTCAATACTCTCATCATGATTCTACCATCCTAAGGACGTACATCACAACATATAATGAATATGAATTACACGATGTAGAAAAATGACTTTATTGATTATAAACACAATATTACAAAGTCAATTACAATAAGTTGATTGGCTCCAGGGCACCTACTCTAACATAGAATACCATATCAGCATAGCCATACTTAATTGGAGCTTTTATATTTCTTCTAACTCTGTCTCTGGCCAAATTGTAATCTGTCAGATCTTGCACTTCTCTATTAGATCTTGTAATTCTTGAATTGCTACCTCTTATTCCAGGTCTGGTTCATCAAGTATTGGTTCATCTTCAATTTTTTCCTGTTGCTGTTCTTGAACTTTATTTGGATTATCAAAAAGCTCCACCTCAAAGTCAAACTTCTCACTGCCACTGCTATTGCTATACATATCTCTTGATAATCCCAACATCTCAAACTCCTTAAAAGCCACATTCTTACCGATTATTGTTTTCCTTGCCACAGGATTCCATAGCTTATAACCCTTTACTCCATCGCAAAAAATCCTCAAGTTACTATAATCTGCAGGTTGTCTAGACCACAATTCCATTAGTATTTTGAAGTTCAGAGCAGCAGACGAGCACCTGTTGATTAGGCTTACAACAGTGTGAGTGGCTTCAGACTAGAATTGAGTTAAAAAAAAAAAAGGTTTTGTTAATTCAAATTGGGTTGAAATTTTACTTTTTTGAAAACCAATAAACAAATTCGAGAGACTAGACTCAAGCAATGCTTCATTTTACTTGAGTGTGGTAGTGAACTTTTTTGATAATTTATATGGATCAAATTAATATTTTATATATAATCTATTATGTAAAATATCAATATAATCCCTATAAAGTATCAATAAGACCCCACTCGAGCGAGGTTATTATAATTATAACCCACTGGATTAACTCAAGCACCTGAACTCGAGGGAGACTGGACTTGATCAATCGAGTTTCTGCAATTTTTCTAGAATCAGTTCTTCCAATTCGAAGTGCGAGTTTTTTTTTTTTTTTCTTTTTCCTAAATTTGTATTATTTCACTTATATTAAAGACATGAACATAATATATAAACCGAAACATATACAAATAATACAAAAACATAAATCTAAAAATATTAAGGAGAAAGTAATAAGAGAGTAGGAGAATTGACGAGAAGCGTTAAATTGTCTAGAATTTGTATTAAAGATCTTACTTATAAAGACAATTAAAGATAGATTGTTCCTAAAATTGAGTTTTAAAATATGGTCATTTAAGTAATTATTTCTCAAAGTAATCATGCAGCCCTTAATTATCCAGGCCTAAGTGCAGCAATATGAGAGAATATAATAGCATAACAAATCCAAACCCTTTCTGAGCCTAAGAGTCTGACAAGTCAAACAAACGGTTGTCAGTTACCAAAACGAAAGGGGGATAACAAGGAACATAATTATTGTCCAACAGACTTCTAATTAATTTATTTGAATTTGAAGGATTTCACATGATAAAGACTGAGGATATCCAATTATTTTACATTATAAGAATTTGAAATTTCCAATATTACTTGAGTTGATAAAGTTTCTTGTGATTGTACGGGAAATCGAGAAAGATGTTCAGCTTTTAATCCTCCAACGATAACCTTGAATAATCTATGAAAATGCATCCAGATGGCTATCAAACCAGTGAATCAAAACTAAACCCCGAAATTGCAGACAATTCAAGTCGCTTATCTAAGTAATATTGCATGCTACGAGGCCATCTGCTACATAATGATGTGAGAAATAATAGGATATTAACTTCGAAATTTAAAACTATAGAGATTCCTATAGGTTATGTATGAAAATCAAATTTAAAACTATATTATAATTTCGGAGGTAAACAAAACCATATTTCTTCTTTAATTGTTTCTTTTTATATGCAGAGTTTTGATGAAATTTTTTTCACACAAACTATCTAGGAATCTCTAGGGACTCATGATTTGGATAAAAAAAAATGTAAATTGAAAAAGAATCGGATTATATGCAAGAGTTTTAGATCAAATTTAGCTAATAGAACTAATGAGGATTAAAGAGTACAAGTAAAAATAAGTAATTAAGTACCGCCTATAGTATCATAGTCGAATTGATCCAATTATATAGACATCAATACTTGTAAATATCTTTGCAATATATACAATGTGACATGTAGGGACATGTCTCAAATTTCACTTTTGTGTTCTGCTGTATGACAGTGACTGCATTCACTAAATTTTTTTACAATCTTTTCAATTATCCCTCTCAAATTTGATTATTCAATAAATGATATATAAAATAATACAGATAGAATTAATAAACAAAGATCCTCTTCTATACAAGCATAACTAAAAACTGTAATTGACTATTAAGAAAAAAAAAAATATATATATATATTGAAAGTAATATTATTATAAGATTAATTATCAATTTTTAAATGAAAAGTAATATTATTATAAGATTAATTATCAATTTTTAAATGAAGTAAGATAGGACAAGAATCAATCCAAAGTCTAAGAATTTTGTTATTTCTATGTTTTAGAATGCGCATGCATGCATAGAATTATTTAGTAACCATCAACCAATTAATTCAATCGAGGTCAAAACAATCGTCTCAGATCATGACAGGTGAGATCTTTATTAGATCCATTTTTAATTAATTACCACAAAGAAAAGAAGCTTTTGGCTAAAACCCTAGCTTGAGGCAAAGCCGTTCGTCTCCATTCAAGTTTCATCATCATTCAAGTTTCATCATCATATAATCTTCTTAATCTCATATTCTCTTGCATCGTTAGTATAATGCAGTTCAGCCCCAAAATTTAAAAACAACTAAAAGAAATGGCCATCTCACTCGACGGCCGGCTTAACCATATGGCAAAAATAAGAATGAAATCCTTCGTATAAATGCATATTTGTTACCTCGTTTCTTTCATAATTTCATGCTCATCATCTACTGCTCTTATTTACACGTGCATTGATTTGAACGTTGAAAACAATGAGTTTACCAAATCATGATCAAAATGCAAGATCGAAATTTATGAGGCGAAACTTGTCTCATATCCCGGGTCTGAAATGAAAACAGGGCTCCATGCATCCTGATTCAAACTCAACTCAAAATTAGTGTGGGGCAAATCAATCACGTGCTAGTAGCTATCAACTCCAAGGTTGACCATGTTACGGGTCCACTCCTCAGTTTCTGGGTATAAGATTGACTGATAAGATAAACAAATAAACATGACAGTCAATCCCTGAAGTTTGAAAATATTATAGCCAAATTAATGCGACTTATATTATTGAAAGTAGTCAAAATCAGCAGCCATGAGATAAATTTTTTAAATACATTTTATTCTTTTTAGACTAGCAATATGTTCATCAGAGGTTGTGGCAGCACGCACATGAGCTGTTTAAAATATATATCAACCAAAATTAACTTGGTACTCATCTAGAAGTCTTTTTATTATATATATGATGAGTTAATTATATAACTAGTAGTACAAGTTGAAAAGGGATATATATCATGGAGCTGTACTGCCCATGTCACCCTTACCATAAGGCCTAGTGACCAAGCCCTAAATACATAGAAGCGAAAAGAACTAATTATTAAGCAATATTACATAAGTAAACTTCTAATTATTGCTGCTTCGGCACTATTGTTGTCTGTCGAAGCTAACAGCGCTGATAAACGGTCGCTTAGATCATCAACCTCTCTGTGTAAGCTTCTAATATAGTCACAAGTCTCCTGTAAAATCTTAGAAGCTGATACCTGCGTGCCCAAAATTATCATTAGTAATTAATACTCATGGTTAACAAGTAAACCAAAATGTGCTATATTAACTATGTGATGCATATTGTTAACATACAAGGGAACATATTTAGTCCCACACCTCAACTTGTTGCACCACAAGAAAATAAATGAGGGTGTGAGAACATACGACTTATCTACAATAACAAACGAAGGCCACACAAAAGTGTGTTCCATGTTGGAGAGAGAAAAGACCAAGCTAGCTACCTTGTCGGAGCGCCGAGACCGAACCTCAGGAATGAGTTGTTGCAGTTTTGAAACAAGATCGCTGATCTGATCATCAGTGATACTTGGAACTCCCGACTGCCTGGAACGCGACCTTCTGCTTGACATACTTAATTAAGATATATATATATATATTATATATTTATATAGAAGTGTCAGACAATACAAGTAGATGGAATTTTGTCAGTGAAACAAACCAAGATATATATGCAAGGAGAATGAGAGGGAAAGAGAGTGAGAGTGAGAGTGAGAGAGAACAAGGCCACTTAAAAAGAGGATTGTTTGGGACAACTTATAGACAGAGAGAAAAGATAACCTGAAAGAAAAAATGGAAAATGTGGGAAGAAAGTTTGGGGGAAGTAGTGGTAGTATTATTGGGGTTGAAGAAGACAATTGCATGGGAGAAAGCAGTGGGCTAAGCTACTTATTAAATAGGGTTTTGGGGAGAGAGAGGAATCAGATACGCCATACTGTCCTTCTCTATGTGTTCCCAAACTGGGGTTAAGCTCAAGTGGGTTACGAACAATGTGCTTGTTTATCCGCCAACGACCCGACCCTCTATGTGTCAGTCTCACCACGCATGCCCACGTTATCTTATTACTTCCTGTCACTTGAAAAAATTTAATTATATATATGTACTACATTTTTTAATTCTTTCTATATAAACAAAATTGTTGCTGCTACTAGTACTGTACATATATACACTCATATAATAATGATATAATTTTCTTCAGTAGCGGGTGAAAATCTTCACTAAATTTGTCTGCGTTGAAGAGAGGCTGACATTGTTGACCAGTCAGAAATCATCTCTCCATACTCTTCCATAATTTGGGTTACGACACGGCACGTGTCGTCTCGTAATCTATGCGTTACACCGAACCCGATTCCTCGGCAAAATTTCCTTGCTTATGTTATTGTAATTTATTAATTGCATTTGTATCCCTAGAATGAGGCAATCTAGTTTAGCACAGTCCTTAAAAACACCCCTTTTTGGGCATAGAATCTCACTTCAAGTTCCTAAATTTATCTTTACGCTATAGCCTATAGCTGATTATGATCTCATCTCAGTTAGATACTCCTCTGCTACTTTTAATTATAAATTAAATTGGTGTTTTTGTCTTCTTATAAATTTGTTACTTGCTGTTATTTATATTGTAAATAAGGAGCTTTACATGTATGCATGTGACAGAGATATCTGGCAATTTTTTCCGGCGAGATTCCTGGTAGAAGTCGGCTTGTCGACGTAACCAAGTCTTGATAAACGCCATGGATTGAGTATCATTTGTTGAAGAGCAATCACATCTCTACAGTACTTCTAAGAATTAAATCTTATACACTAGTAACCATATTCAGAATTTTAATTACCATCATTTAATTTTTATCTCCATATACACTAGTAATAATGCAAATTAATTTTTTCTATATATATAATATGCAGTAATTTAAAAAGTAAAACAAAACGCTACAAATAAGCAGGCATCACGTGCCAGACACACGATATAATTATGAATGTATTGAACTTAATTGACCATTTCCAGTTCATATACACACTCGTTCAAATTATGCTAGGATTGTCCCTTTTGTTTTATTATGAAAGCTTAAAATCCAGCGCGTAATTAGGGTTCAGATGAACCAGAATATATCTCCCTAGTTAGACAGCTAGACCTACAATAATGAGAAATTAATAAGGCAGCTGCAAGTATCAAACTAACGCCTAATATATCTCTCATCCGAATCATTAATTTCGGCTCTAGCGATCTCCCCTCAAATTGTAAAAAGATACATTTGTTTTGAAAAATAAGGCCTGCATGCATGTGCAGCCTGTACACACCACTATATATAAATTGAAATCAACTATACAGATAAACACATTTAGCTTATAAATAGTCGCTGGAGCATGAAATGCGCGCATACAGCTTTGTCAAAACATGTGTCCAAGGACCAGAAGCAATGCATTATCCACCTTTCACAAATGGGTTTGTCAATGAAGTTTCACGGTTTCCTTTGGCATTGTCCCCCTCCTCATTACTGTTTTGCCGGTGATTTGACTTCAAACATTTACATACATTCATTAGTGGACTATATGCATAATTACTTATTAATTATTCACACTATTATTTGTTTAATAATGTCATAAGTTCTTCATTTAACCACTAGGAAGTATTTTAACATGAACGCTACCTAGCCGCTCAGTAATCGACATTCCTTATTTATCTATGCATTTTCTTTTCATGGCGTTGATGGAATATTTTAGGAATATTAATTTTTAGGAGATACGAAATTGTTGTTTCACTTTAAATCCAACAACTGTATTTGTATGATCAGCCAAATTATTTCATTGGCTGTAACACATAGAGTTCAATCTCACAACCGAACAAAATAGACAAACAGTAGTATTAATTTTTTATTAAATATATAATTGTTTCAGCATTCAAGTCCATTCAGATCTGTATAATTGTCAAATATATTTTAAAAGTCATTAATCATATTAATCAGTTACAAAATATATGAATTTAATTAACTTTCACATGTCACTTTTATAGGAATTTCATAAAGTTTATCATAATTCTAACAGTTCATAGTCACAAGAATAGAGGATGTAAATAAATATATTATAAGGATTTTTTCTATATACATGTGCGTGCTCGAAGAACTTAAAATGAAAAATATTTTTGCAGCCCAAGAGTTTTTTTAAGAATATGAATAATTCTCACTGTAACTCTCTTTTACTTGATAAATATTCTTCAGAATATAAGTAAATAATAGACTATTAAACGGAACAAATACAAAATAAAGTACAACCATTTGTCCAACAAAATGAAGTTTCGTAAACATAACTGTTGATGCTCAGTTTTTGGCACCAACTAATTGTCACGTGCGTAACGCTGATTGGCCAATAAACACACGTGATAATGAATATAGAAAGTGAAATAAATGCAAAGAGAGTTTTTAAAGTGGTTCGAATGCTAAGGTAGCAAGTCCTACGTCCACTGATTTTGTATTGTATTGATAGTGCGGGTCAGGTCGCAACAGCGGACTAACTTACAAAAGGCTTGGAAAAAGTAAGTGTTGTTTACAGGAGAGAGAGTTTCTCAGTGTAAAAATGGCTGAATCCCCTTAATGAAGGGGTCTTCTTCATTTTATATCAAACTGAAGCGTGTAATCATCATTAATCTGTGGGTTGGTGTGATTGTCAGGATATAATCCGGCTTTATGTCCATTGCTCTCTTCCAAGCTGATTTCGCACGATTTATTGCAGAGCAAAGGGACACGTGTGAGCTCCATATCATTTGACAGGTTTGACGTGTGCTTGTTGCTCTGACGGGAGCGGTCACTCCTCACGGACTTTCCACGTCAGCCCTTATTTTCCCAAGCATAACAGAAGCCCCTAGTTTTCAAGGTTTGAGGGTCGAACCTTGGAAACTAAGTCGCATTGGAGGTTCTGGTCACTCCGACCTGAATGGGATGAGCTCGGCACAGGACCTTTGGCGCAACATGACCTCACGCAATCCTTGCCTAAGCGACCTGAGAATCTTCATCCTAGCGACCTCGATTCGTCGGACGCTCTTTTCTGTACCTTAGGGTTAGAGTTCAATGAACCTGGTTCCACGCTGTCAGGCGTCTCTGCACGCGCTAAAGCGTTTGTCAGCACATTAAATGCGTTGTGTCTGACCCGACGCCGTTTGACAGCATTGGTTGTGCAGCGCATTTGAAACGACGACTCTTATCATGGCATTTAATGCGACGGGGGCACATTTAATGCGGGGAGAGAGAAGGCTGTCGTTTCGATTCGCGGGGTGGTAACCGTCGGTTCGCAATCCATATAAAATCTCATATTTTCCAGATGACGCCACCGAAATTTCTTTTGCTTCGAGTGACAAACCTTTGCAAACAGAAATCTTTGTTTTCCGATCGTCGCTTATCAGGCAACTGGAACGAGTTTCGGCCCTGGTTACGCATCCCAAAAAGTAAGATTCTCCTTCTTGCTCTCTCTTTTTCTCTTTTTTTTTTTTGGTGGGCGATGGCGTTGGGTCTCCCGGTGTTTCACCAGAGACATGACGCCGTCATTGGATTCGAGCCATAGATGGCGACTCGAGTTACTGTTAGGTGTAGAGGGATTTGCCCACGCCGCCACGCGGGACATGCGATGGCTAAATGACCTGTCTGTCGATGTTGTAGACTGGAATAGAATCGTCAACATCCAGACCGGAGGAAGGAGCTAGCTCGTCCTCGCGGGAAGTTCCGAGGACGCATCCCTTGATGTCTTCCGGTTCTCACCCAAGAAGAATTTGTAGGATAAAAAAGTAGTTTGACGTCCGCACGGAGGGTTCCTCGACCACACCAGGTCGTCACGGTGCCCCTCTGATGGCCTTGCCGCGATCTCTCCGAAGAGATCTTCAAGGGTGGAGGGAGGATCCCCTCCATCCTTTCATCAGGTCGGTCTTGGATCACTTCGGGGTCGCACCGAGCAACTCCTGCCAAACGCGTATGTTATCACTGTCGCGATGTACATCGCGTGCTGCGAAAGGTTTGGGCGAGCCAACGGCGGTGGAGCTCGGCGTCGCCTACTACCTTAAGAAGAGTAGGGACAAGGACTCGTATTATTTGTCTCGGTGACCTACCATTGCCGCGGGGATACATAGCTATCCAGCAATGCGGGGGCCTACGAGACAAAGTTCTTCTTTTCTGTATGACGGCTACTGCCGCTTTCAGGATCCAAGTAGTTTTTCTTCGCTAGGTTCATTATCTGCTCGCATGATCTATAATAACGACCTGTTTTCCTTTTGCAGTTAACAGAACGACCAGACAAGCCCTACTCGTCGACCCAGATAGGCTCGTATCTTTTGGAGTACTGGACGAGGAGAGTCGGGACTCGAGGAAGCTTGTGACAACCGCAAACTTGCGGAAGTCGGTTTTTTCAACGACAAAGCGTCTTAGAGCCCCTAGAAGGTAAGTTATATTGGTTTCCTTCTGGTCGTAGAATAATTTCGTTTACTAACGAACTTAAATGCAGAAAACTATACCCCCAAAGGAGTCCGAGCAGCCTCGCCGAGCACCATTCGTCTCCCTCGATCGAGGAGAGAGGAGCGGCCAAAGCTGGTCGTCCTATTCCGGCACAGCCGGTGCGAACAGTCACGCCTCCCCGGCCGGTCCTATGCAAGAAGGACTAGGACAGAACAGGTCGCTCAGGCACCATCTGCTCGCCCAAAGCGGAAGGCTCCGGCCAGAGGTCAAAAAAGAGGAAGCAGATTCAGGCCGAAGAGTTGGAGACCGAATCTGAAGAAGAGCCTTTGAGGTCGCGACAGGAATCAAGGAGGTCAAGCAAGAACCCGTGAGCGAGGCGGTCGCTGTCGGCAAGGCGAAGGACGCACC